CCTCCCCCCCCCACCCCCCCCCCCCAGTTTGGGAACCTATGGTAACTGATGGAATCCCCATGCCTGGTGGTCCCTGTTGCTGGCATTTCACAGAGATTCAGGGGGCCTAGTTGGAGAGGGAGATTTGGTCCAAGCTCTTTTGGACGGATAGTGGGACTAGGAATCAGGGCCTCCTGTGTACTGGCTCTGGGTCTGCAACTGACTCCCTCTGAGATGAGTCTTGTCATCTCTCTGCCTTAGTTTTCCCATTGGTGTAATGGGAATAGCAATGCCTGCCTCAGAGAGATAGTGGGAGCACACAGGCTAATGTTTATAAGGACAGTGGATGATTAAAAGTAAGTTGTACAGTGACTGGTTCATCTATTAATCAGGCAGGCGAACTACCCTGGCTGAGTTCCCCCTTTTTTTTTTTTTTTTGCATCTAAGGCTTTGTCTACACTGGCAATTGAGCCACAAAGCTTTTGTCATTTGCCGAGCTTAATCCCTCTCCCCGGGACAAAAGCTTTGCCACCAAGTACTAGTGCAAACAGCAGGAGTGCTCTCCTGCCAGCAAAGTAATCGCAGCTGGTGGGGTGGAAGTTGGAGACTAAAGATAAGAGCAATACAGGGAGGGGATGGAATTATGCATCTCCAGTGTGCATCCTTCTACTGTCATGTGGTCTGGGTTGCTGAGGAGGACCCTGGAAATGCATATGTGGCTAGTCATGGCGTGGCCAGAGCAGCTGTGAGTCAGCATGGAGAACAAAGGGAGGAAACGGGGGCAGATTGCATAGTGCTGCGGGCAGGTGATTAGCTCCAGGACATTATAGAGCCCTGTGGGTTCCAGGCTGGGAGTGTTTGACAGACTCTGTTGTTACCAGCAAAGGCACACTAGTAAACTACATTTAATGGGCCTGATCTTAAACGATGTTAAATGCCTTTGTCCCAGAAGATGGTCCGACCTGGAAACCACCGTATCTCTCATTGGCAGATTTCTCAGCTCCAGTCCGAATAAACACAGACACATATAGTGTTGAAATTTAACAGTATATTGTAAAGTACAACAGATAACAGGGAAGTTAAAACAATGGATTACAAACACTGAACTGATAAAACAACCCCTCACTCTCTGATACAGTAGAAGACAGGATAGCTATAGCAAACGGCAGAACTTTATACCAGTCTGTCTGAGGCAGCTTGAAGCTCAGGACCTTCAATCCTTTAGCTGGTGGTGGCTTTCAGGGGAGGAACTCTGGGGCGTCCTGATGCTCTGATGTTAGCGGTTGTATGGCAAACAGTTCAGTTCACTGCTTAGTCCCTGCCTTCGCAACGGACCAGAGTACAGTTTGTGGATTACAAGCAGAGCAGTTCTGGATGCCTTGAAAGGCCTTCTGCGCCTGCTGTGGCAAACGATGGAAGGTGCTCTGTGGTCACAATCCCGATGGTGTGGGGAGAAGCAGGTAGCTGAGGCTCACTGAGCAGAGCTATTGCTACGGCTGTGAGCCAAAGCACCCCATGGGTGGCAGTGGAGTCAGGTCTGGTCTGTCACTGGACTGGGCCTTCACCATGGTGTCTGACGACGGAACAACTCTCCTCCAGGAAGGTACGGGAAACTGCCGACTGGATCTCCTCAGGAATCCAGATTATATAGAGCCCAAGGCGGGAAAAGTCCTGAGGGTTCCTAGTGCAAAAGCAAGGTGTACCTAGTGCAAAACTTTGGGGCCTTGTGCAGATTCTGTGCTGTGTGCAGCTTGGTGGTGCTGTGAGCATAGCCACGTGCTGTGTGCAAAGTTGGTGTTTTGGCGGCAAAAGTCTCTTGGGTTCCATTTTGAATTCTTCCTTGATCTTAGACTTCATTTTGATTTTACAATGTCCATAGCTCACGTTTATCTCTGCCGCAGGTGAGTGCAGGGTCAGGCTGGTCTGTGTGCAGTTACAGACTCCCCCACCTCTCTGTGACTTGCTGCCACCATCCACATCCCCTCCTGTACTTCCTCTCCGTGACTTGGGATCACTCCTCCCATCTATTTCCAAGGCTGAGCTGGCAGAAAGGGGGACGAGAGAGGAGAGGCAGGACTCCGATGTTGAGATAAGGCACGGCGGGCACGGCAACCATAGAATGGGAGGGTGAAATTCACAGCCCAAGGCAGAAATAGGCAGGTGGCTTGGCAGCGGGGCCAGGCCATCTCACCAGACATATACCTGCAAAAGGAATGGCTCGCTTGGGAAAACCCAGTGGCAATGGGATTCCCTCTTCTGTGGACATGGAAGTGGGCAGGGCAGCCTGCGTGTCATCAGAGAGGCTGATGGTAAGGCAGTGGGGCTCCCTATGTGTATGTGGACTAGCTTGTGGGCTTCCTCTCTCCCCCTTTCCTATGCCCTCACACTGTAGGGTGTGTCTGTGTCCGACAGGCAGGCGCACAAAGGCCCCTGTGTGCCAGCTGGTATCAATGGCCAAGGGCCCATGCACTCAGGTCTGTCAATCACAGGCACTGTCCAGTGATGCTAGAGCTGCGAGGGAGAGCACTAGGAAAGCGTCTGCAGGAGCCAGAGGAGGACATGCTGGAGATGGAGATACCATGACGGGGAGTTTGACTGGTGAGCCCCAGGCACTGGAAGGGCAAATTCATGTGGGCTACGTCTACACTGGCACCCTTTTCCGGAAATGCTTAAAACAGAACAGTTTTCCGTTATAAGTATTTCCGGAAAAAGCGCGTCTACATTGGCAGGATGCTCTTCCGGAAAAGCACTTTTTCCGGAAACGCGTCCGTGGCCAATGTAGACGCGCTTTTCCGGAAAAAAGCCCCGATCGTCATTTTCACGATCGGGACTTTTTTGCGGAAAAGACTACTGTGCTGTCTACACTGGCCCTTTTCCGGAACAGTTTTGTTTTTCTGGAAAAGGACTTTTGCCCGAATGGGAGCAGCATAGTTTTTCCGGAAAAACACTGACAATTTTACAGTAGATTGTCATTGCTTTTCTGGAAAAGCAAGTGGCCAGTGTAGACAGCTGGCAAGTTATTCCGGAAAAGCGGCTGCTTTTCCGGAATAAGTGGCCCAGTGTAGACACAGCTGTGCAGTTTAGACTCAGGTACCTTAGAGTTGAGGCTTCCATCTAGGGAGAAAAACATTTTTAAGGCCTCGTCTGCATGGGCAGGTTGTGCTGGTGTCAGCTGTGCAGGAGAAATGGGGCAGCCTCCTGTGCAGAGCCACACATTTCAGTTTGACTGGCTCACTCTGCTTTAGCTGAAACAGAGCTCCCATTCACCTAAACAAAACCCTAACAGGCCTGATTTAGACTGCTCCACATGGCCTTATGCTCGGCTTGAGCCGAGTGGGTTGGGAATCACGCTGAGAGTTAAACTGGCGTGACGTGCTCACACAGACACAGCCTCGCTATGGCCAGTTGGATCCCTTGCAGAACGTCTCTCAACTCTGTGACCCGCAGCTTTCTTCCTAACTTTCCCACCTGCTGTCTTCCTTGCTTTCCCTTTGCCCCTCTCAGCGACTGTAGTAACTGGGCTATGCGGCTGCAGAGGTCACCTGTTGATCTGGCTCCTTTCTACCACTCTTGTATGCATGTGACCTTCTCCTGTTCACTGATGTACTGTGCCTCTTGCCTGAATCACCCATGGCACAAGGGAAGTGTGTCATGTCTTGTGATCGGTTGTTGCATGGGTGAGTTTATCTGTGTGGGATGGTGGGGACGTACACATTGCCTGTGTCAAGCCATCACTTCAGTTAGCTCAGAAAAGCACGCTGATATGAGCAAGAATTAGCTGAGTGAGGGATGTCAACTTAGAGGGGATAAGTATTTAGGGACATGCAAGCAAGGCAAGGAATTGAAATCTTCCAGCTTGAAGCCTTTGGAAATTAAAGGTGAAGCAGACAGTGAGGGGAGTGTGTCTTTGTGGGGGGAAGAGAGGGGAGGGGATAGGGCAGAGATGCCACGTATTAGAATGGGGGAGAGAGAACAACCATACAGGGCAATGTTAAAGGGGCAGGGATATATATATGAGCTGAACTGGATGAACAGGCAAACCCCATTTCTTCCAGCACCTCTGTCTTTGCAGTGAGCATTTATTTTGAGTTGCAGCCCCTTTTCTTCCAGGAGAAAGAAAGCTGTCCCTGCTCTCCCCCATAGCCATCTGAGCTCGCGAGTCAAATGTAGCTGGCAGAGATCAGTGGCTTTAAGACATCATTGCAGTAGCAGACTGTGGGTCTCGGGAAGATTCAGATCTAGATAGATCAGAAGAAAGCGGTATTGGATTCAGAGCAGCTGCCGGGAAACATCTCTTCTCAACAAATTGAGATGCTCTTCAACCTTGATGTTTGTGCAGTGAAATTCAACATTGTGGTGGAGGGGGGTTTATGTGACTGTGAGAGACAGCGTCTGTCAAGAGAAAGCACCATCAACGACATTAGTTGGTTTGAGCTGAGCGGCTTTTCTATGCCTCCCGGCTACTGAAAGTTTTGTTGAGGTAAATTTACATTCATTATGGGGAGTGCGCATTAAGGTAAGGACAATATCTTGCCCTGAGGAGGATAGTTCCTCGCTGTGGACGATGTCCAAGGGAGGGGTGAAGTTGTGACGACAAGCACTTTTATATGCCTGTGCAAAGAGGCAGTGTGGCCTCCCTCTCATCCACAAGAGGAGGAACTACTCTTCCCTGCCCAAGTGGGCGGAACCAGGAATG